TCTTCTTCTTCTTCTTCTTCTTCTTCTTCTTCTTCTTCTTCTTCTTCCTCCTCCTCCTCCTCCTCCTCCTCCTCCTCCTCCTCCTCCCCTCCTCCTTCTTCTTCTTTAGACAAAGTTTCTCTATGTAATAGTTCTGGCTGTCCGGGAACTTACTCTGTATAGACCAGGGTGGCCTGGAGCTCACTGAGATCTGCTTGCCTATGCCTCCCAAGTGCTTGATTAGCGTGGGTAAAACTTTTAATTCAACTCAGTGGGTCACACATGAAAGACAGGAAAGCAAAAAAAAAAATGTGAGTTGTTTTGAAAGGAAAGGTTCCAGCAAGAGGAAGGCAATAAGACAGGAGAATGGAGGTGAACATGACTCAAATTCACCACATAAATGTACAAAACTGTCAAATAATAAAAAGAAAACAAATTTACTGCAGAAAAGCTTAAATAAACTAAAAAGGAGAAGGGAGGAATGCAGTACACTACCTGATACACTATAAGGTGGCTTTAAAAATGCCACTACCATAAATTTAAAAAAAGGTGAGAGAGAGTTTGGTTCAAGCAAACTGGTATCATAGTTGCAACCAAGATACTGTGACCAGAATTCTGTGTACTAGCTTCTAAAGATAATGATGTGGTTTGAAGCCAGCATGTACGTTCCATGACAAATTTCAGATACAGGATAAGAGAAGGAACACAAGGACCTTGAAGTGGCCTTTAGGAACTTAGTGAAACAGTTGAATAGCACGCGTGAGCATGCATCCTTGTAATTACTGGACAAGCATTGCTCTGTTAAAGCAGCAACAGCACAGCTTCTATGGTGTTCATATCTGCCAAGATAGACATTAGCACAGGAGGCGAGATTAATTTCCAGATTACTACATTCATATGGCTTCCTTTCTTTATGAACATTTGCCTTGTTCTCCAATCCCAATGGAGTAGTGCAATTAAAGACCATTTCACAAGTTCATACTAGGGTGGAGGAGAAGCAGATAGGGCAGAGCATAGAGAATCTTAAGTGAGGGGACTTGAACAAAGTCTACAGATCATGAGTGCTAGGCAGATTCACAAATAGGAGGGTACATGCTCTGTAAATACCAGCTGCTGCTGTAAGCCAAAGGCCAATATTTACATGAATCCTGTGGCAAAGTCTATTGACTGAGCATCAACCTTCCCAGGCAAATTCGTATTATTGTGTGCCCTTTCAGCCATCCTGTTTTAAAAAAGATTGATCACCTTATACATATGTGAGAAATTGCCAAAGTAAAAATACGTTATATCCCCCAACCTCAAATCACTTCCCAGATTCTTCTCTTGGAATGTGGAACATGTATTCACACAGAAAAAGATGTACTGATGAAAGTGTATTTAATACATGGTGTACCAGAAACATTGTATGGTAACAATAAGCAATATGGTACCTTAAAAGCAGGAGCACAGCAAAAGACAACAAATATTTCTTGGACCTTTCTTCTCTTTCTATGAGCTGCAGGCAGCAAAGTGGGGAATTCTAAATTCTCAGTTTGCAGTTTGAAAAGAAAAAGAAAAAAAAGGAAAGAAAAAATCCTCTGCTTCCTCTGTTTGATAGGTATGTATATACAGCCTACTTTTTCCTTTCAGGTCTTCTGTAATTTGTCTACCAAAGGACCTTAATGATTGATCGAGGAGACTGTACAGGTAGGGGGGAAAGGATAAGAACTCGTATTCCTTAATGTCTCTGTATATTTTAATAGAAAATTCAATTCTAATGGTCAGTTAGTCGATCTAATTTCCCTCTCCATCTCCTTCTTCACTGGAATCTGATGCTTCAGGAATACCAGCAGTCTTTATACCGAGATAGCCAATGTCCATTGGGTAGTGCATGTCTGTACTTCACTAAGAAATGTCATCAGTGGACTGGGGTGGAGGGATTCACACATAATGATGGTAAAATGAGAGGATACCATCATCAGATTCTTTTTCCCTTTCTTTGGCACACTCCTTCAGTCACTGGCTTCTTCTCTGCCTCTTTTTCTGTGTTTAAAATTAGACCATGAAATGGAGCATGGTTGCTCATGCCTGTAATATTAGGGATTGAGAGACTGGGGCAGGAGAATTGCTACAAAGTAGAGGTCAGCTAGAGTTGCAGAGCAAGACCCTTCCTCAAAGGAGAGAGGTGGGAGAGAGAAAATGTGAGAGGGAAAGAGAGAGGGGCACTGAGAAACACACACACACACACACACACACACACACACACACACACAGAGACACACAGAGACAGAGAAACAAGACTTAGTTTAGGGACACAATCTCACATCCAGATTAATCCACAATCTTAATTCATATTAAGGCACAAGTGACCAGTGACCAGTAGCAGACAATATTTGGGGGCATCTGATTGCTATGGTACTATTTACACAAACCACAGCTTATTTTAGATGTATTGTTTAGGGAGGTCTGCTGATGGACATTAACCATGTGACACAGTTACTTTGGAAAGCAGTTGCTTCATTTTGGAAACAGTATGCTTTGTGATTGTTTGGTATACTGTTTCTTACATGTTCTGTTGTCTGTCATTTCTAGTGACTGAACTTTAAAGGATAAGATGTCAATCTCCCCACTGTTTATAAATAATAAGGGAACATAGAAGCAATGATGAATAGTCGTGTTTATATACACTTGCACCTTTTACAAAACACATTCAGCGATCATTGATTAATAACAAGGATATGAGCAGAACAGAAGCAAAACAATATCATAGCTGTTTAATTCAATGACCACTATCAGGTAACCTATCACAGTTGCCCTAGGTTTTGTGGAAGACTTTGACATTGTCTCCTTTGAATTTTAAGATTCAGGGGTGCATTCAAAAGAAAGACTCCTAAGTGTTGGCCATCTGAGGAAACCAGAGTGGAAAGTGGAACATATATTCATAAAATCTCTGTCAGGTTTTGCCTTCTGAGGGAGTATTTGCCGTCGAGTGATTCAAGTTCTTTTCCAACTGAGTTTCTGAAGGTTGAGTGTATACTATCAATCTAATTCTTCCAGAAACCTGCAAAAGGGCAGTCCCCAGAGGGGTTCTGGGCTTTCCAAAGAAAAAACTGTAGACCGAGAAAGACCTTTTACAATGCAGTCATTGGCTGAGGAGTCCTTTATGCAAGGAGGGGAGAACACACCCACACCGAGGCACAGAGGTGCAGACTAGGTAGAGCAGATTTGAGGGAAAGAGAATTTCTTTTGCACACATCTGTGAGGGAAACTCAGGCTCACTGTTGGGGGCATATGGAAAAGTAGAATTTTTAAGGGATCATGAGCTGTGTGGGTTTTGTCCGCCACCCCTGTGTGCACCCCACATTCAGGCAACAGTTGGTCGTGTGGGACCAGCCCGGGCTCTGAGTGGGGAGGGGGAGTCTCGCGATTGGTGAGGGGGGGCGGAGGGGGGAGGGTGATGGGGGGAGGCCATGACGTAGGGTGGGTGGACGGAAGTGGGGCAGGGTTGAGGGTTATTTAAAGAAGGTGGGGGGCGAGCGAAGGGGTTGGAAGCTAGTATTCCCTACCCTTGCTCTATCTAGCTCTTCCTAGCGCAGCCACTGCAACCGCTCAGGAGCCTCCCTTCTCCCCTTCATCTTTCCCGCTCCAACGCCATGGAGCCGGACACGGCCACAGAGGCAGCCACCGTGGCAACCTCGGATGCCAGAGCCACAATCGTGGTCATAGAGGATGAGCAGCCCGGGCCGTCCACCTTTAAGGAGGAGGGAGCGGCTGCCGCCACCACGGAAGCCACCTCGGCCACTGAGAAGGGCGAGAAGAAGAAGGAGGTAAATAGAAAGGGGTGTGTGCGCGCGCTCTGTGTATGCCGGTCACATCCTGTGCCTGGCCCCTCATAGGGGCCCAAATCCTGACCTTTTGGCGCCGACAGGTACCACGATCCCTGCAGGGATGGGGGCAGCAGGGCGGCAGAACCATTTAGCATTCCTTCCCCTCCCCCTTTCCTGCCGGCTGCCTGCTGGGCGGGGGCGGGGCAGGGCGAGGGCGCGGCAGGGTAGCGGGGTGTCTGATCCTGAGCCCCGAGTTTTCCTAGCCCCGGGTCCCCCACCTTCCCGAAACTGGGGAAACGATATGGAGGATGGGGCTGTGCAGGAAAAAGCCTTCGCCTCTCCCTTTCCTCGCTGGTTTCTCCTATTCTACCCCCCTCTTCCCATCGGCCTCTGCCTGGGAAATCTGGGCCCTTCAGTCCCACCGTCGCTGAAGGGGGTTTGACTGGGGCTTATATTTGTAATTTAAATTTCAAGGTGCTGGTGGTAGGGGGAGCAGGACGGGGAAGGGGAAAAATGATTGGAAGAGAATGCTTTCTTTGATTGGCACTGCCTGTCTTTGGGATTACAGAAATAAAAAAAAATAATCCCCCTTGTTCCTTTGATCCCTACCTCATGGTGAGGAGGGGGTGTCATGTCAAGAAAATAACCTCTCCACGGTTATCTTATAAGCCTCACACTGAGGAACCATGCTTGCTGTCTTAGGAAAAATGTCCAATCTCTGCACCCTCACCCTCTTCTGCCCCGCCCCTGGTGGTATAGTGTTTCGCCCCAGGCCACCAAGATGAACCCCCGCCCCCGCTCCCCCAACCCCCACCTCCACACACACACACATCTGGCTTGGTCTTCCAGCCTTTCATTTCCCTTGCCTACTGGGGCACCATTCACTCTTGGACACAGGCAATTTTTTGTCAATTTGTTGTAAAGTCCGAGTCTGTAGAATGAACTACTACTGATGCATGCATGAAAAGGCGCCACTGTCAATCACACCTATTACAGGCCAATCCAGGAAGCAGGTATTATGTCACATGAATATGCAAGTAAAACTATAAAATGCTTTGAAAACTGACGTTAAAGGAGAGAATGGAGTATAAGAAGTTTTGATGTCTAACAAAGTTGCAGAACAGATCGTATATAGGTGGATATTTTTCTGTTTATGACATACATGATGATTTAAAAAATGGTGGGTAATTGAAATCATGCTTTAGAGTTCTCAAGTGGGTTGGTATGAGTCATTATGCAATACTATGCCACTAAACGGACAGCTTTGGGAGGAGATGAGCATCTTTTCGCCTCGAATTGGAGGAGTGACGCTAAATCCCAGCAGTTCCTTAAGTCACTCAGTCTACAAAGTTGACTAAGCAGAAGACAGCTGTAGTGCTAAATGAAAACCATTGGAGATACTGGATGGAAGATGTGTGTAATACGTGGATCACCAAGACAACATTGATGATTAAAGCCGGATCAAATACCATGTATCAAAATTCAGAAATGTAGGTGCTTTTTATTCCCTGGACTGGTAAATATAAGTACTAACTTCTTCTTCTTCTTCTTCTTCTTCTTCTTCTTCTTCTTCTTCTTCTTCTTCTTCTTCTTCTTCTTCTTCTTCTTCTTCTTCTCCTTCTCCTTCTCCTTCTCCTTCTCCTTCTCCTTCTCCTTCTCCTTCTCCTTCTCCTTCTCTACCTCCTCCTCCTCCTCCTCCTCCTCCTCCTCCCTCCTCCTCTTCCCCCCTCCTACTCCCCCCTCCTCTTTCTTCTTCCTTCTTTTTTTGAAAGTAGTCAATGCTGAATTTTGAAACTGTATAAGTTTTTGGATTTTCATTGTGAAAAGACTGGGGATCAATAAAATATATTTACCAAACATGAAGTGTATTCTGTATGCTCATGAACTCTATACACTGCTCTGGTGGAACCTCATTTGTCCACTCAGGATAGAAGCTGCATTTTCTGGATCTCCAAAGTTTCCTATTTTGCTCAATATTTTCTTTTTTAATTTTTCAGTTGTCTTTAGAAGTTTAGATTGGGACAGTCATGAGGACTAGAATTTGGGTCCCGCTAGCCAGGTAACACACTAGGCCTGTACACACCTGAAGACCTTAATTTTGAGGGTGACAGAGCTAGAAAGATTGCGGGGCGGGGGTGGCTTGGTGGCTATTAGCCTAGTGGAAAAAAAGCAGCCCTTGGTTGAGAGAGAGACACTGCCTCAAGGAGTAAGTAGAAAGCAAAAGAGAAGGAACCTTGATGCTCTTTTCTGTTCCCCACACTTGATACATGGCACCTTCACACTCATATGTGCATATAGCCAAGCAAATGTATAGAAACACACATATATACACACCATTTAAAAATGTTATGCATATTTTGAACTACCTTGAATCTGTAAGAAGTACACATTCATTCTTTCCTTATAGTCATTGGTTTTTATGCTTTGTTAGTGATAAAAAGCCGGTTGACATTAAGCAGCTTGTTTCCCCTCAACTAAATAACCATTTCTCAGACTCTTTAAAAAAGTAATAATAGCTTCTAATTATTTCTCCCTCTAATGATTTTTACCTCCTCAATAGCAGGGTATGTACTTTTGCTTTTTAAAGATTTCATCTACTTTAATCAGAAGGAATTTATCTATTGTATAGGACATAGCATTTAAAGCATCTGTAAAATACAAAAATATCAGTGATGCTTAACCCCAGGAATAAGGGATGCTACTATAGAGAACAGGATTTCAGTCACGGAGTTCTGCCATGTCTTCCTGGTCTCCACAATACACCTTGTTTGAGTAGTCTTTATTTTGTCATTTGGTACTGCTTTCATCCCTTTGGGTGTGCAAAGCTGGTCTATCAAATGAGATGGACGTGGATAGAGCTGTTAGTGAACCGATTGTGACAGTTAGCCCACACGGGGTTATTTTTTCTTATCTTCTGGTTCCTGAAAAAATAAAAAAGAATTGTTTTGGATAGTAGTGTCAATAAAGTGATTACCCATATCCTTTAATAGTACTACTCTAGATGAAGGATTCAATTAGCATGTGATTAGTTTTTTAAGCACAGAAATAATTAATAAAATGTTTTTCTGAGATGTAATCTTCTGAAAGTGAAGTTTATTTCCCATATATATATTTGTATATGTATATATATATGTATTTGATGAGATACTTATTGTTTTAAAACTTGAAAACTCCACCTCATTAACCTTTTAAGATACAAGTATGAGTATTTTATGTATATTTTGATATCTAAGATTTTATTGCTTTGAAAATGAGACATGTAATATATATGTGACTTTTTTGTGTGTTTTTTTTTCAGGGTCTTACAGAAACAGGGTCTGTCCACATAGCCCTGGCTTTCCTGGAACTCACTCTGTAGACCAGGCTGGCCTTGAATTCATGGAGATCTGCCTGCCTCTGCCTCCTGAGTGCTGGGTCTAGAGGCATGCATCATGACTTCCAGCATATGGGATATGTTGAATGTATGCTCTTCAAAGTGTCTTTCTCAGTTTCTATTCCAGTCCACCCAGAATTGCATTCAAGCCAACTCACATAGTTGACCACTGCACATAAGCTGCGGTGTGCCACTCTAGATAGACGTTCTGTGATCAGTGCTCCAGAGTAGGACTCTGACCATGGTCGAGTTCGATAATCTTTGAATTTCCTCAAAATAAAACCTTTAGAAAATGTTGGAAGACAGTCATGAATCATTGGAGGCATTTTATTTTCTTGTTTAAGGTCAGATTCTGGTGCTGAATTACTATGGACGATTTCAGAGATAGGTGGACAAAAGTTGTGATAAAAGTGACCTCAATTCATTTGTTTTCATAAAAATGATTTGTACTTTAATTTCTGCAAAGTCTGTGTTCAAATTCAAGTATTCTTGGTATTCATCTTAATGAATAGATTCTTGTTTTTGTTATTTTATCTTTTAATTTTTCCCAGAGAAGGATATTTACTCTATGTATATTGTGATACTTAAATCAATAGGCTTGTTTCTTCATAAGATGTTGACCCTGTATTGACAGGTTATTTTAGACTTCTCATTGCTAATTGATGCTAGTGTTCACTAAATTATAGCATTAAAATGTCAACAGTTAATAGAGAATAGCTCTGATGAATCACTTGAATAAAATGTTTTTGTAACATAGCCAGAATAGTTTTCTTTCCAGAGGAAATAAAGTGACCAGTTTGAAGCTGTACTATTGGATTATTTTAAGTGTATGAGATCATGTCGCAATATATAAAAACATACATGCTTTAATTAGTCTAGGAAAACAAATTTTAAAAGTGTCGTTTCAGAAACAGCAGCCAGAGTCTTTTATTCTGAAAGTCTGGCTGGTTTCCAGTACATAAAGAAGTGTTTGGGAGGGTTATTATTTACATTTCTTGAATTCTTTGGTTTGTGGTTGAGCATTAGCCTGTTCAGGATTTCCAAGTCTGCTTTTTTATGGTTACACATCTCTTCTGCTTTAATTAAAAAAATAGACAAAAAGGCTTAGTGTTTTATTTTTGATTTTTATTCTAATTAATGCCATCTCTCTGATATCTCAGCGTTGTCACTGGACCTCAGGTGCACAGAACTGGATTAAAATAAGCCCTGCTTCATAACTTGCTCTCATCATTGCTCCATGCACGTCCCTCAGTGATTTATGTATCAAGTTATTTAATTACTTTTGGCTTTCTTTAAGGAAGAACATTGACAAGCTTAAAGACCTTGCTTTGCAATTGACTGATATTTATTTCCTTTGAAATTCTAGAAAACCACTTCTCCGTTTCAACTCAAACTTACTGCTAAAACGTCCAAATCTGAAAAGGAAATGGACCCAGAATATGAAGAGAAAATGGTAAATATGCCCTTGGTAAGGTAGTGAACACTGTACTTCTCTTTTTTGTGTGTGTGTTTGTTTGTTTGTTTGTAGATGGGTCTGGTTTATATAATTCCAGGCAGAAGTTCTTGTACTTGTGATTATCTCTCCAGCTTTATTAGCATCCTGATTTCTGTGATTATTAGTTCCATCATACATGGCTTATAGTTAATTTTATAGTGATATGAAAGATGAAAAAGATTTGTCTGTTTATGACTCATAATCATATTTCTGAGTACAAATGTGATTTGAAACATTAAATTGTCACAAGTGTGTATGTATGTGTGTGTGTGTGTGTGTGTGTGTGTGTGCGTGGATCAGATGTGAATGTCAGTTATCTTCCTCAGCACATCTTATTTTTTTTGATTCCGGCCTCCTTATTCTGAGGAAGGGGTTTGGGTGGGTTTCTTCCTTAACCATTCTCTACCTTACTTAATTTTTACAAACTGTCTTACCAAGAGCTCACAGATTTGGTCAGGCTGAATGGCTAGTGAGCTCTAGAGATTCACCCCTCCTTCTTGTCAATGCTGGGAGCATAGGTGTGTGCCATCATATGGACCTTTTTATGTGGGTGCTAGGGATCTGACCTCAGGATGTTATTCTGTTGTGAAAAGCACTTTCCCCACTGAACCAACTATTACTTTTTATTGAATAAATTAATCTCATTTTCAAAGGAGAAAATTAAGGATCACGGAAACTACGTGGAATAGCTGAGATGAGAAGCCACATCTCACTTTTGCCAGTGTTCTTTAGCCAATACTAAGATGCTATAAGGCAAAAATATTTTGTGTGCTCAGTGATGAAGGTATCAGTGGCAGTATCTGTGTGGCTTTGTACCCTGAGGGATATGCAGTCATGATTCCAGATCAGTATTTCTCCTTAATTTGTATATAAATTAATACTATACGTCAGGAAAATATGTATTATGGTAATCCATCTTTTGAGGTATATTCAGGCATATTTAACCAATGCATGAAATGATTGCATACTTAAGTAGTGTAATCTTAGTTGAATACCACATATTGTTTTATGATTTGTTTAATTTTCAGTCATAGAGACCTGGGCAGGTAGTTGGAACTGATTTTTCCCCCGAAGGACTATTTTTGCAGTTTTAAAAATAAGCAGAGAGGAAATAAATGTTTTAGTTGCTGATAGCTGTTTTACAAAAGCCTGTGCCTTGACATTTAAGACCACATCTAAGGAGACAGTTGATGTTTTAACAGTTCTAAAAACAACATTCCAGAGAGGATAACATGAAGTGAAAAAGTTATGGCCTCTATCCAGCTCATCATCTGAATGTATTTTTTCTAAGTCTTGTATCTGTGCTAATGAATGTTCTTTTAAGTTTCTGGTGTTCTTATTACTTTTTCACCATTAATCTCTGCTGAATGGTCAGAAAGTAACTCTAAAAGAAAAGCCAAACCAACTTCATTTTTTTTTTATCTAGGATGAGGTACAAGTCTTTAAATCTTTTAAGGTTTTGTATTGAACACAGTTATTTTTATTTTTTTTACTATTTTTTTATCAAAAATAGATTTTTTTACTATATTCTGAATATGGTTTTCCCTCCCCTTATTCCTCAGATTCCCCCCAACTCACCTCTCGTCCACACCTATACCCCTTCTTCCTCTTTCTTAGAAAATCAACAGACATCTAAAAACAATAATAATTAAAGGCCATTTATTTTCATGCTACAAGTTATATATAATGCTTCAGAGATTATTGAATTTTAGACTACACATCATTCAGTACTTAATACAGATTAACTGCTTCCCATATGAGTGTACCAATATTTTTTCTCTAAAATCCTTTCCCTTGGGCAGAAAGCTTGCATACTAATAACATAAAATAGAATTTTCCAGATTACCACAACTCAAAGCAATGTTTATTGCATTATTGTACCATGATGCTGAAATATTTTTTGAGAGCTGCTGATGCCATGCCATACTCTAAGATTTCAGTTATTTCTAGGTACAGCTTGGTAATTCTTAAAGTTAAATTTCTAGTATGTATATATCATAATTTACATGTGTTCTATTTGTTTGTTTGTTTGTTTATTTATTTAGAGTTTCTTGAGAGAAGGTATCTCTGTGTAGTCCTGGTTGTACTAAAGCTTGTTATGTGAACCAGTATGGCTTTGATCTCACAAAAATCTTCCTGTCTCTGCCTTCCAAGTGCTAGAATTAAATGTGTGTGCCACATCTGGTCCCAATTTATAAGTGTTTCTATGTTTATGGCATTATAATTGATGTTTAATTTTCGATTATTAAGGAAAAGAGAATCATATTTTAGAAAGATGGATGAGTGATATTTTCTAACTTTGACTTTTTGATTCTTTTGTCATATTTTGACACTGGGACTTGAACTCTGGGCCTTGGTACATGCTCTGCCACCGCATTGTACCTCCAATGCCAAGGGTATACTTTTGGGGGGCATTTAATAAATCTGTCAGGTCATTTTTCTTCTATTCAAACTGTTTGAAATAGCATTTTAAAATTTTTTTACTTACAAGCTGTTGAAGCTTGGGAATGGTCCTTGCTCATTCTGTGCCTCCAATTTATCATCTGTAAAATGGGTATGGCACTAGTAATTACCTCCTGGATTTCAGAAGGGAATTCAGTAGATTAGTATGTTAAGAGCACTAAGGATATTGCATGAATTAAGCAGAATATAAACGTTTGCTAAATAACTTTGAATAAAAAGTTATAATATAAAATATAAAATAAACCTTTCCTTTTTCCTCCCTTTTGTAAATTAGAAAGCAGATCGAGCAAAGAGATTTGAGTTTTTACTGAAGCAGACAGAACTTTTTGCACATTTTATTCAACCTTCAGCACAGAAGTCTCCAACATCTCCTCTCACCATGAAACTGGCGCGTCCTCGAGTAAAGAAAGATGACAAGCAGATCTTGGTTTCTGCTGGAGAGTATGTACCCTTCTCTCTACTTTCTTCCCCCTTTTTATGCCTCCCCTTTCCCATTCCATTTTGTCAGTATAGCTATATATAAAATATGATTGTTGGCAATATAAATATGTCTTGGAGACAACAATATTTGTTTTTTTTCCTTTACCAGAACTTAGTTAGTTAAAAATGTAGACTGCTCTTAGCACGTTCTATGCCAGACACCAGATAACACATTCCTTTTTCATAGAAGTTGTTAGCAAACCTAACTTCGTTGGTGCCTCAGCACTGGCGTTGAATGTGAAAAGTTTTTTTTTTCCCGCCTTAGCAATCGCCACAGGCGCACAGAACAAGAAGAAGATGAAGAACTGCTGTCAGAGAGTAGGAAAACATCAAATGTGTGTGTTAGATTTGAGGTTTCACCTTCCTGTGAGTATTTCATCACAATCACGGCTGTTTTAACAGTTCCTTTTGAGAAAAACAAATTTCTTTGAGTATCCTAGCAGAGTATGAGAGGTTCTTTATTTTTGTTTCCAGATGTGAAAGGTGGACCCCTGCGAGATTATCAGATTCGAGGACTGAACTGGTTGATTTCTTTGTATGAAAATGGAGTCAATGGTATTTTGGCTGACGAAATGGTAAGGCGCTGGTATTTGAAATATGTTCTGAGTTACTTGAAGTTTTTCATGTAAATTTGAACTACCTGTGCTGGGGTTCCCTCAAACCCTATACCTGGAAACTTTACTTAGTGGCAAAATGATTTACTTTTTAGCTTTATTTATTTTCCTTTATGTTTGTGAGTGTCTTGTCTGCCTGTATGTGTACCATGTGTCTGCAGTGCCTGGGGAGGTGAGAAGAGGGCATCAGATCCCCTGGAACTGGAGCTATGAATGGTTGTGAGCGATCACATGAGTGCCAGGAATGGAACCCAGGTCCTTTGTCAGAGCAACAAGTGCTCTTCACCTCTGAACTCTGTCTCCTGCCAGCTAAAGAATGTTTGTAGTCTACAATTGTTCAAACAACTTCAAGAATATAGACCTTTGCCCAGCACAAAGATCAATGGAGATTTCCTGAAGTGCTACAACACCTCTTTTTGCTTTTGCTTTTGTTTGCACTTTGGCTTCTAGGAAGCCCAGAGAAAAGTGCAATGTCAAAGGCGTATCTCTTCACCCCTTTAGGTCTGCCCTTGGTGATTTCTTTTTCTTTTTTTCCTTTTCTTCTCTTATGCTTTACCTTCTAGTATAATTTTCCTTGATAACTTTTCATTTCTGTTTTGCCTTTGATTTGTGTTCCATGTTTTTACAATAGGCAACCTGGCATCTTCTTGGGAATGAGGCAGGATGTATAAAACAAACAATACGTAAATGAATGAATGAACAAATTCATACATGAATGAATGTTATCTTGTCACTCACTATAATAGGCCACTATTATATGTCCTCAGACTAATGGGTTTCAATTCTTCGCTTTAGCATTCTGAGTGTTGGGATTATAGGCATAGCCACGATATTCAGCTTCAGTGTTGAGTCTCCATAAGAGTAGAGTGCCAAGTGACAGTCTTTTGCAAAGATAATAAATCATGGTCATGCATGTAAAATAACTGAAAAAGTAAGATCATACAATATGCTAATTGAGTAGATGAGGGGAATTATATGAAGGCCCAGATTTTATTTTAATATAAAATAATGAAACTAAAGAGAGGATAGAGGGAGTTATAGACCTATTTTACCCAATAATATAATATTTATGGGACTTAGGAGCCATATTTTCAATGACTACTCTCCAGAAGGCCAAGTGATGAAATGCATTCTATGACATTTAGTCAGTCCCATAGGCACTCATCTTTGGATGAGCAGTTATTAATTGTATGGCAGAGCATTTTTATAAAAAGCAAGAGTCAGTAACACCTTACATTTACATTATTCAGCTCAGAGGGTAAGGGCCTTGATTCATTTCTCACCAGAAAGAACAGGATTTTTTCCCCCAAGAATTTTTTGGCCACAACCTGTCTAAGACAAATGACCTAAACGTTCTTCAATGTAGTAAGGAGGAGCAGCAGGCTGTGTCTTGCCACCCGGCTAGCTTATATCCCAAAATAACAACACACAAATTGTATTCATTTAAACACTGCCTGCCCCATTAGTTCTAACCTTTTATTGTCTAACTCTTACATATTTGTTTAACCCAACTCCATTAATGTGTATCGCCACTTCACTGTGGCTTACTGGCATGAGTCTAATCAGCGTCCATCTTGGAGAGGAGAGCCATGGTGTCTGCCACACTTCCCTTCTTTCCAGCATTCTGTTCTGTCTATTCTGCCCACCTAAGGGCTGCCCTATCAAAAGGCCAAGGCAGTTTTCTTTATTCAACACATAGAAAGCAACACATAGAAAGAAGATCCTCCTACACCACTTCAAGAGTCTGCTGATGCCAGATATGTTTTAATTCATCTTATCTTTTATTGTCTTTTTTAAAAATGTCCTTTTCTTTTCCTTTTCAGTACTGGAACTTAAATTTAGGGCCTTGTGTGTTCTAGGCAAGGACTCTATTATCATGCTATACACCAGTCCCTTTTATATATTTTGTTTTGAGTTAAGGTCCCATTATTTTGTTTAAGCTTTTAACTTGCGATTCTCCTGCTTCAGCCCCCCGAGTAGCTGAGATTTAAGGTGTATCCCATCATGTCCAACTTGTTTTAATTAGCAAAAGAGAGGAAGACAGTTTAGAGAATATATGCAATTTAGAAAGATAAATTTTTAAGTTAAGTAACTAAGTAATTTTAATTAAGTAATAGTAATTCTGCAATCAAGAAATAACCACAGTTGTCACTTTGACATCTTTCTTTTTAAACTTTTTTTCTAAATGTATAGTTGAGCTCATATCATATGTATAATTTGGCATTCTGACTTCACATTCATTTGTATTTTTCATATCATTAAAACAGTTTGTCAAAGGAAGTTTTTACTGCCTAGAAGTCTTAAGGAGGTACCACTGTTTCTACCCACTCTTGTCTTGCTGCTGCCCATTTGGACTGTTAGCTGTGTGGTATAAATAGTGCTACTATGACAATCTTGTCCTTAGTTTTTCTGTTCCTCTTAGATGGTTCTTACAGGACTCCTGGAAGTGGAATTATCTTCTTAAACATTTTAAGGTTTTGGTGGCTATTGTCCATAACAATCCATCTTAAGTGACTTATCAGATAAGATATAGTCCATAAAAGTGCTATTTAGCTTAGATTTATAGAGTGAAGTTATCTGCTTCATTTAGAGATAAAGGCAAAAAGCTGCTTAATTATTTAGTATTTACTTTTACTTGTGAGGCTGGGATTAAACCCAGGGCTTCATGCTAAGCAAGCACTCTCCACTGAGACACACCCAACTCTTTATTTTAAAAGACTGAGTTTAAAAGGCTGGTGAGCGTACTGCATAGGTACCTTTCCCATGGGCGGGGTGGCAGGCTCACGGGTGTTTGATACATATTACTTTGAGAAAGCACACTGTGTTTAGAGATCTCTAAGGTCTTTTCTCACCGCAGTGTTTTGTTCCTTTTGATTCCCAAGGTCATTAAGGGTGTGAGGTGTAAGTAGATAGCCGTGAGTCTCTTGAGATGCACAGTCTGCATATTTAATGCCTGTGCTGGAGTAATGCTGGTGACAATAGGAAAGAAAGGTCACCATCTCAGGAGGTTGTAAAAAGAAGTCTACTTTTGTGAAACATATATCTCAACATTCCCAGTTTTGCACCTACTAGAAGAGATTATGTAATCAGTTCACTTGCTCCTAAATAGAGTCAACATGTCCTCAATGGAAAGGTAATTTATTACACAATAATTTGACTACAGGTTATTGGTTCTTTTCCTCCTCCCTCATGACAAGTACTGAACTGAAATGGTTTTGTGTCTTTCTTCTTTTTTAAAAAAAGTCTCCCCTCTTACTTTTCATTGGTGGAAACCTAATTCCCAATGTGAGATAGGTGGCAAGTATTTTACCTGATGTTATTTCTAATAAATCGTTTCCTTTGAAAAGCGTATTTATGTGTTTTTCCCCTTGTGATGATAATGCAGGGTCTTGGGAAGACTTTACAAACCATTGCTTTGCTTGGTTATCTGAAGCACTACAGAAACATTCCTGGACCCCACATGGTTTTAGTTCCAAAGTCTACGTTACACAACTGGATGAATGAATTTAAACGATGGGTTCCGTCTCTCCGTGTTATTTGTTTTGTTGGAGACAAAGAAGTAAGAGTAAGTTGAGAAACAGCTTTAAAAAGGCTGTCAAGAATATCATTTCTAGACTGCAGTTAGATAATATTGCTGTTAAAGACACTTAAGTCAGCTATGCCTACTACTGCTACTACATAATACTTCAGTTATACTGACTCTGAGCTAGGCTCTATTATATTGTGCGCGTATTAACTCATTTAGTTACCATATTTGTGAACTGTGTTTACTTTTTAGTTAGTAAATACTTTTAGCAACCCCAATTTGTGCTGTTTTGAAGACAGAAAATGAAATGACTTAAATCTTGCTGTTTGAAGTTTTGGCTTGCTTGGTGCATTTGTCCACACATAGAAATCTGTGACCCCAGAGAACCTCACAATTCTCTGTTTAAACAAGAGTTTATAACATGTCTGTATAGTCTCAGATAGTACTAGAAATTTAGATTTTGACAGGGGAGGGAGAGGTATTTAAATTAGCCATTTGTCCAGTTAAGCTATAATTATTTTAGGACTGTACAGTCAATCAAAAAGTAATGAATTATGCAAAACCAAAAAGAATAATTTTCTTAGAAAGCATATTATTGAACTTTGTCTTTATTTTGCCCCCAGAGAACATAGTTTAAAATAAAAGTTTATACTATTTTGCATATTTAGATAGATGGAGTATCAAGAGACACTCAGTGGAATAGTACCATAATGAATTATGTAATTTAATCATTATCATTTTGCTTGAAGAAAATTTACTTAAATTTATTTAAATTTAACTTATAAATAATTTAAATATTGAAATACTGAGTTCATAAATTTAGAATCAAAAGGTTGGTTCCTCCCTAAGTCTATTATTTCTCCATAGTAAACTGGTCACTTAGAACTCATTTCTGGTCATTGCCTTTACTTAATGTAGTACTATTGCTTACAAAATCACATTTATAAGATATTGATACTTTAGTAAAATTATGTCTTGAAGATTATAAATAAAAGAGCAACATATAGGCTTGAGTTCTCACAGTACAATAGTAAAACTGTATTTTTATTTTGAGACAGGCTCTTACTATTTATGCCTGGCAGGCCTGGAACTCACTATGTAGATCAGGCTGGCCTCAAACTCATCTCTACCTACTTCGGCCTCCAGAGTATTGGGATTAAAAATGTGAGCCACCATGCCCAGTGCATAAAAATGTAATTCGATGGCTTTTAATATGATGCATAGAATCTAAATGTTTCATGAAGTACCGCTGGGAGTGTTAAAGAGGAGAATGGAGGTACTTTAATTATGGCTGCTCTGCCTCCTGGGAGGTTGGGATTTTGCTGACTTGAACAATCTCTTAGTCTTCAAAGCCAGTCTGTAAAGTCAGTATTTTACAAATTGTGAGTCATCATCCATGAATAGGTTGTGGTTTCATTTTAGCAGTGGCAACAATTTTTTTAAAACATCAGGAGGGAATTTCAGAGTAAGTAAGCAGAGTTTCATACCATGACAAACAAAAGTATTGCTTTAAGAAATTGTTTAAGTTGCTTTTTGGACACACACACTCAAACATCTATCCATATATTGGGTCACATGTTAAATGCAGCTTATTATAGTTCATCATTAAAATGTTCAAAGCCAGGAATTCACAAACACACAAGTAATTAATGTGCTAAGTTTAGTTCTTAGAGATTGACATTGATATATCTAAAATTCTAGATAATCATTTGTAGAGCTATTTGAACCCTGGTTTTGTATGGGATAGATATGCTGACTCTCTCATTTTTATGACTTCCTATAAATAACTTAGGAGGCCAATATTTAATAATTACAATTTTAATTTCTACAAAGGCATTTGAGTTGTGAAGTTATTAGAGATATTCTTGATCCTATCTATATAAAGAGAGGTGCTCTTGATCCTGACAGATATAAATTCATCTTGAGGTCTATTGCTGTAACATGAGGGCCGGCTTGCTTGGGGTATCTGTCCCTCCCAGTACCCCACAACCGGCATATCCCAAAGAAAATCAATCACACAGAGATCTCTATAAGTTATAAAGCTGATTGGCCCATTAGGTGAGGCTACTTATTAGCTCTTATAACTTATGTTACCCCATTATCCTTATCTACATTAGCCACATGGCTCAGTACCTTTCTCAGCTGAGCAAGTTCCATGCTGCCTCTTCGGTGGTCTGCGCAGAACTGCTGAGGGAGCTTCCTGCTTTCCAGAATACTCCCAGTCTCTTTGCTCCACCTCTACTTCCTGTCTGGCTTTCCCGCCTATACTGCCTGCCTGGCCAATCAGCATTTTATTAAAATATGATTGACAGAGTACAGACAATTCTCCCACACCATATTGCCATATTGCACATCTTTATCTATCATGGAGGAATCCATATCTAGTGGGCATGGAAACAGATATGTTCTTAATTCCAACGTCACTACCGATTGCACAATTATGAGTGAGTTTCAATGTGCATGATTTTAATACCAACAAAAAGAGAGCTTTTGGGTCATGTGGCCTTCAATATTTTGTCAAGATATCTAACTCTAAGTTTGGTCTAGAGTTTTATAAGTTCTAAATACTAGATAAGCTAAATAAAAAATAAATCCCAGTTTCATGAAACTCTCGAGAAATCATGATCCCTTATCCTTGTTTCACTGAGTAGAAGATTCAGTTTCATGTCAAGTTGGCCACCATGTTGGTCACTGCCTGTGAAGATTTAAAAACAGTTACAAATGGTCTTTCACTAGCTTCCTTCACTACATAGAGAAGATTCCCTTTATGAAACCACAGCCATAGCCTTATAATATTAAGAACTTCACAAAAATAGTAAGGTGCTCTGGACACCTTACCAAAGTACACAGTTCTTTTCTACTGGGAAATAAAGGAATATATAAAATGTCACCAAAAGTGGGAACTGTTACTATATGTTAAGTATTTTTTGTTTGGTAAATAGATTATGTTAGTAGTGTTTGTATCTTTGTAATACCAAGGTGTTTAGTCATGTCATTCATGTCCTTTTTGAGCCTTTCGTGATATGGAGTGATCTTCTGGCTCATGTAACATGAGCTTTTGCTTTTCTTAAGTTGATAACTATGTTCTCAACACAGCCAAATTATTGACTACAAAGCTATTTTGGGCCCTGATATTCCTGTCTCTCAAATGAACAAACCAAGTATGCTCTATGATGTCCCATACAACTCTTAATATTCTTCATTCAGTTGAATTTGGTGATCACCTTGTCAACATAATGTAATATAGCAAACTTTATTTTGCATTAGGCCGCTTTGATCCGTGATGAAATGATGCCAGGAGAGTGGGACGTGTGTGTGACTTCGTACGAGATGGTAATTAAAGAGAAATCTGTGTTTAAAAAGTTTCATTGGAGATACTTAGTCATTGACGAAGCTCACAGAATAAAAAATGAAAAATCTAAGGTAAGTTCTCAATATCTTCATTCAAATTTTCATTTACTTAGTAGGCTTGCTTGTCCACTTTTCTGTGTTTAAAATAGAAACAAAGTACTAGAAGATTATAGTTTTATTCACAGAATGTGAATGACAGTATTTTTTTAAAGCGCCCATAAAGAATAAATTATTGAATATAGGACCAATAAAGGTTGGGTACAGATTTCAAATGCAAATTAGGTATTGCAAGCTCTCCTGTTGTAGCCTAACTCTGTCATGCTACATTAGTTTAATATTGCTGAGACTATTTGATGTACAGATATCATTAGCATTGACTTATTTTTTTATTGAACAATTGCTTACCTTATGTGTATTGCTATGGATTAGAAAAAGGTAATTTCCTGGAATTATCTGACTTGTGTGAATTAGAGTCTGGTGTTAACATTAAAAAATATCAATGATTTGTTGCCATTCAACTTCGACAGTAGGAAAAACTTCACTTATAATGATGAACCTTTCTTTGGATCACTGGGCTACTTTGGGAGAAACAGGGACAAAACTGGAGCAAAACCACCAGGTGTAGCATACTAATTTCACATTGGAACTAATCCTTGATAAGAGGATGCATGTTAAAGCACAATTGCTTCATTAAGAGCATTATGAAAATAGGAATTTTTCTAAAATTACTGATTTTTATGTTTTTGTCATATTTTTTGTGGTCTTAAACTTGAAATATTGACATATAGTACCGGGAAAAAATGAGTTCAATTCTGGTACTGAATAATTGTGGCCAGGCTGAGTTGGAGCTTAGCTATGCATGTAGATGAACAACATGGTTGGTGGAGAGATTTTGTGGCATAATATGGTAGCTTGGAGTCTATGGAAAACGTTTGATTTTCTGAGACCCAAAATGGAAAAACTAAAATGTTTCATGGTGGGGGAGGGATCTCGGATATAAATATGATTTGTATTCTTTCACGTGTGGAAATGTCTAGGATATTATAGTGTGCAATGCCACCTGAACTAGTGTATTTTTCCATAGAAAGTGAATTTTCAAGTCTTAGTGTATCACAGATGTATTGAATAAAGTATATAACTGAATGCTGAGCATTCTAAAAGTCAAAACAATGCTTATGTAACTACTGTATATATATTTTTTAGCTTTCAGAGATTGTTCGTGAGTTCAAGTCCACTAATCGCTTACTTCTAACTGGGACACCTTTGCAGAATAACCTGCATGAACTCTGGGCTTTACTTAACTTTTTATTGCCGGATGTCTTTAATTCTGCAGATGTAAGTTTAGAACAGAGTATTTGTGTGAGGGGTAGTGGTGCTCGCGGTTGAAACCAGGGTATTTAACTGATGCTTTACTACTGATCTCCAATCCCAGTTCCAAATCATACATCTTAGTATGTTTTCTTAATGTTCAGAATCATTCACTCTCTTTTCTCCCTCCCTCCCTTCCTCCTTTTCCCCCCTCTTCATCCTTCCCTTCTTCTCGCTCCTTTATTAGTATTGTTTACTGTGTGCATAATGCGTGTATGTGTGCAGATCAGAGAACAGCTTGATCAAGTCATTTTTCTCCTTGAACCTTTATGTGTGTTCACAGATACAACTCATATTGCCATGCTGACCCTGTGAGTCATCTGTTTTCAAAAGTAGAGGAAATAAATTAAAATTTATACCTTTTCCATTTGTGATTCTTCATTTGTGTATTTTAGTTTTTTCAAGAAAGAATAAGGAAGTCCCCAAATTTTAGAGTAAGCATATTTTGGGAAATAGTGTATTTCTATTCTTTCTAATTATTCTGTCCATTATTTTGCCTATATCACGTTGTTACCACACTTATAAGATAGACTGAGTCTACAGCAGTGTGTTCAACCTTTTCATTAAATTTGAGAGACTTATTATTTTTTCATTATTATCAACACAGTTTATGAGATCAGCAGATTGAACAAACAATTTAAGGATTTTAAGGCTTTTTTTTAAAAAAAAAAATCCTAGTCCTCTTAACTAGACATAACCAGTTAGAATGTTGTATGATATAGTGCTCCTTTTTATTGCCATTAAAATTTTGTCAACAATTGCAATAATTTTCACCTATTATAAAAGTAAAAGGTATGACTATCATATTAAAATGTTTTGAAAGTAGTTTTAAAATGAATTATTTCTACATTGGTTGTGTACAAATGTATAGAGTATTGAGTTTATTTTAAAAAATATGTGTACTTATTCTAGAATTTTCACCCCTCCACAGGACTTTGATTCTTGGTTTGACACTAAAAATTGCCTTGGTGATCAAAAACTTGTGGAAAGACTCCATGCAGTAAGTAATAGTAGTTAAAAAAATCAATAATAAATTTAATGGAATATAAGTGAACAAGAAAATAGAATCTGAACTTGTGGGCTTCAAGTTTGCCTCAGTCTCATTGCTTCTCCCTTGTAGTCCTTTTAAGAACCCCATGGTCAGCAAAGCTCTCTTTGGCCTCTCCAGTTAATTTTTTCTTTTGGTCTCCACCATCCTGTGGTCCTTCCTTGTGGGGCCTCTTTACTCTTTAATACCCCTCCAGTCCTCCAGATAGCATCAGTATTCGTCTTGTTGCCCAGTGAGCCTTCTGAGTCACTGCTGCTGCGCTGTATGTATAAACCTCTGCTCTAGAGTCCTGAGCCCTCTCTCAGTTCCATCGTCCACACGCCGTCATCTTTGTCATCTCTTTATCTCCAGGTCATGCCCCATATTTATTGTTCAACATTTTCCAATCTTTGGTAAACACTTAGATCCATGTGTTACTCAGCCTATTTCTTCTGTAATATGACAGAGACCTCCAGTCCCCAGATCCCTACTCCAGTGTATCAATCTGAAAAACTATTTTCTATCATTTGGATCACTCTTTTGCTAGTACTGTCAAGTCCCTTTGCACCCCTGTTCCTCTGCTACACCTGCCCTGACAACTCCTAACTGGAATAAAGTAATGCTCTCTGTCTTCTGGGTTTCAGTTTTGCTGTTGTCCCGTGTGACAACAGTATATTTTGTTATACTGAGACTGCTCAATACTGATAAAGACAATTGTACAACCCTATAGGTGGGAACTACTATAATTTCATGTTCTCTAGGATAAGCTGGAAATTCATGATACTGACCCCCTCAACATGACCTTCTACAGCCTTCTTTCCCTTTTCTTCTAACAAATGATTCCAATCTCCTCAACCTCAAGACTTCCATCTCAGGTGTCTCTTGCCCTCTATGTCTCTCAGTAGGTAGCACTATTCTCTTCTGAATGACAAAGTGGAAGGCATTAGGTAGGAATTTATTGATACAGGTCTGTCTTCCAAAGCTCTGTACATTCTGTTTAATGAGCTGCCTGAATGGAAGCATTATCTTTTCTCTGCTCAATGGCAAATTCTTTGATGTGAACTCTGGATATCATCATTTCTTTTTTTTTAATGGACGTTACCCCATGATAACTGATTAAATTTTTTTACTTATCCATCTGTATTGTTTCCTTTCCCTCAATACATAAACATGTGCAGGTAGCTACCTTGTGGTCCTGGAGAAGATGTTTCTGAGTTATAAAAGATAGCAAATGCACAACAGTCCATTGTGTAAGGGCTTTGATTTTCCAAACCCATATCTACCTGACCTAACACGCGCACACACACACACACACACACACACACACACACACACAGAGAGAGAGAGAGAGAGAGAGAGACAGAGAGAGAGAGAGAGAGAGAGAGAGAGGAGAGAAAGCCATCTATAATCTCTCTCTTTACCTACCTAGCATCTATCTATTCACCCATCCGTCTGTCTGTCTGTCTGTCTGTCTATCATCTGTTCATCTGTGGGAGGTCACTGTAGGATATACAACTGTCAGGAAAACGATCTATGCAAGGGAAAAATGAAACTTGGTTCAGCCTGATTGGTGCTAAGCCAAGACTTCTTGTTTATTTTTGCCATATTTAAGCATAACACAATTTTTGGAAAGTTTTTTTAATAGCAATTAACTCAGGCCTATGAGTACAGCAATGCTTAAGACATGTTTACATTGAAGCTCTTTGCAAAATCCATATGGCTTTGCCTGTAAGATGGGTTCTTGTTGACTTAGAAACTGTGCTTTAGGATAAGCATCTGTGAGAATGACTGATGTAAACATAATCCCGTGGGAGTCAGGATTTGGTCTGGCCCTGAGATAACACAGAAGTCACTTAGGCTGTTGTAATGTACAAATGACATTTCTTACAAGGATGAGTTTTATGGCCAGGAAGTAATGTTCAAGGTTTTATGGGGAAAAAGTCTGGGATAAGTAAAGCATAAATTCTGGAAGATATGGGCAGAGTCTGGCTCCTCAGGCTGCAAAGGATTACCAGATTGTAAACTACATCCATTCCCAGCATTCTAGAAGAAGGATAGCTTAAACATCTCTTTCCTTTGAAGGATGCCTGTGACTTTAACTTTCCTGACTTCTCCAGTGTTTATCTGTGTACACAAGCACTTTTTGCCCTATTCATCCATCTATCAATGCCCCTCATCTTCGGGTACTTAGCTTTGATTTTCTTTTCTTGACAGCTAACCTTCTTGAAAGAGAAGTTTCCTTCTACATCTTCAGTGCCTAACCTCCTAAGCTTACTCATAAACTCACTGATCATTGATATCTCTCCATTCCACATGAGTGTCACCCGTCTTACATAGTTTTCAGTGACATTCCAGTTGTTAAATTCAGGATATACCAGTTTACTTCTCATAACTACCTTGTAAAAATCTACATAGTACCTTTTCTTTATCATTTTGCCCTCTATCATTTCACTTATCCAACATCAATCATAGTCTAAAATATAGAAAATATAGAAATAAAGACAATAATTAATTTTTATGCATGAACTATCACTAGTTTCCATACCAGTCTTGGAAGTGTCATTATGCTTAATACAAAATACTTCCTTCTGTTGAAAGAGAATATACTTATATAACTTATATTGCTGTATTAATTTTTGTTCTATTTTACTATTATTATTTTACCGTATTTCTATGTGGCATTTATAAATTAAAGTTATCATATATATACATGCATATAAGACATCATATTATATATAGAATTCTATATAACTTGTTATTTTGAGAATCTTCTAGGAATCTTGGACACTGTTTCCAGTGGGACATCTGGGAACTACTGACCTTTAACTTTCTACTGTATTCTGAGGTTTTTTTTTTTGCCTCAAAGTCTTACAGATAGTTCAAATGTTTAATAAACTTTTAGATAAGTTTAAGATGCTCAAGCCAGCAGTCTTATTATCTCTTATAAATATCTAATAATAATGACTGCAGTTTATTGCATGTCCACCACAAATAATCTCTATGCATGAACAACCACAAATTTCTATAGCACCTTTGGAATTAGGTATTATTATTATTTTAAATGTATAATACTTATATTTATACAATAAATATACATGCTGAAATATTTTTAGATGAGCAAAGAAATAAAATTGAAAAAAATATTGTCTGAGTATTTAATTCTGCTTCTACTTGTTAGCATAGTGACTGGTGAACTTACAGAACTTTAAATAATCATATTCAGCCAAGTGGTGAAAGCGCACACCTTTAATCTCAGCACTCAGGGTGGGGGAGGACAGAGGCAGGAGGATCTCTGTGTTAGAGGCCAGCCTGGTCCACAGAGTGAGTCCCATGACAGAGGAACTCTTTTGAAAAACCCAAAAGGCAAAACCAAACTAGAACAAATAAACAAAACCCAATAAAAAAGAAATAATCGTATGAGAGATAGCTCAGCAGTTAAGAACACTTTTTGTTCTTATGTAGAGAGGACTTGAGTCCAGTTCCGTACACGGTATCTAACAACTGTGCATAGCTTCATTTCCAGGGGATATGATGCCCCATTCTGGCCTCCATGGGCACCAAGCACACACATGTTGCAGTACTATACATGTAGACAAAACACACATATTTAATAAGATAAATAAATCTAGAAAAATTGAGAAAAGAACCCTTCAGCGATTTTTCTAAGGATTTAACTACTCCCTGTAAAGATAATGGTGCAGTGTGTGACACATTGTTGGCAGATACTCCATGAATTGGAACACCATTATTTTCTTGTGACAAAAATCTGTGTTTCCTGTATACACTAATTACCTTTTATATCTATTCATTCATGTCTTTAAAAAATTGAATTCTATTCTTCTTATTCATTTATACAATAATTATTTTAAATGACACAGATTTAAATTTTATTTGGAGAGAACTTAAACTGAAACTCTCATTTCCTATTTTCCCTATGTTAAAAAAATCTTGTATTAGGACTGGAGAGATGGCTCAGCAGTTAAGAGCATTGCCTGCTCTTTCAAAGGTCCTGAGTTCAATTCCCAGCAGCCACATGGCGGCGGCTCACAATCATCTGTAATGTGGTCTGGTGCCCTCTTCTGGCTTGCAGGCATACATGCAGACAGAATATTGTATACATAATGAATAAATAAATATTTAAAAAAAATCTTGTATTAAAAGCAGTATTTAAAACAAGAATTCATTAATTATTCCATAGACAATGGTCTTGTCTTAATTTTTAGTTTTATTTCTCCTGTCATGTCATCAACATTTAATTTTCCTCTCTCTTGTTTAGAGGATCTGGAAACTGAACCTAGAGTCTTATGACTGCTGGACATTCACTCTTTTTTTTCCTGGCCCAGCCTCTATTCTGACTTTTTTCTTTCAAGACAGGGTTTCTCTGTTTAACAACCTTGGCTGTCCTGGAAATTACTCTGTAGACCAGGCTGGCCTTGAGCTCACAGAGATCTGCCTGCCTCTGCCTTCTAAGAGCTGGGATTAAAGGTGTGCACCATTTCCATTTTCTAAGGAGTCATTTTTTGGTGGTTATTTACTGAGAAATTAGGCAACTGTTGTTTTTTGTTATTGTTGGCATTTGTTAGATTATGTATCAGGATGAAAGTTTTAACAGTTGAATAGCTAGCATTAATGAAATACACAATTTGAAATTGTAAATGCTTTATGTATTTTTATAGTAATCATTGCTTTTTAGGTTTTAAAACCATTTTTGTTACGCCGTATAAAAACTGATGTAGAGAAGAGTCTGCCTCCTAAAAAGGAAATAAAGATTTACTTGGGACTGAGTAAAATGCAACGAGAATGGTGAGATATTTTATATTCACTATCATTAATTTATAAATAAGAATTTATTAAAAATCACTTTTGTTGATTGTTCAGCCTGACGATTATGTTTTATATTTAAATGTCAAGTTGTGCTGTTCAAATATTCTTTTTAAAACCGTTGTGTTTATTTAAAATGGAAGTTGAGATTGCTTTTGGCTCCAACATGAATATAGCTCAAATGAGTCAAAGTTCACTGTAAACTTTCAGCAAATCTTTTAGTAAATGGATAATTGTCAGATGTACTTGCTGGAACTGTTAGTCTTTGATGATAATTTCTAGTAATGGGTATAGTATATGGACATAGGACCATAAGCAACATAAGTAAGTAGCATACAAAACAAAATGTTCAAATCATTAACTTCTTGCTTTTTGAGGTCATATTTTCTTTCAAACCAAAACCTCTTTTTTTTTTTTTATCTTTTGGCATCGAACTTGGGGCACTGTGCATATTAGATGTGCCTTGTACCATTCAACGATACCTCCAGCCCTCAAACTATATCTGCCTTTATCTACTGTATTCCTAGTGGAACATTTATTTATGGCATTAAGTGTTCTTAAAATTGATTAATTATAATTTAACATTTTAGGTATACAAAAATTCTGATGAAAGATATCGATATTTTAAACTCTTCTGGCAAGATGGACAAGATGCGACTCTTGAATATTCTGATGCAGCTCCGAAAATGTTGCAACCATCCTTATCTATTTGATGGGGCAGAGCCTGGCCCACCTTATACGACAGATGAACACATTGTCAGCAATAGTGGTAAAATGGTAGCTCTGGATAAGCTATTGGCGAGAATTAAAGAACAGGGTGAGTGAGGGATTTTTTTATTAGCTTAGTGTGGAATAAATTCCCAATAATGGTTTGTGTACGAATAAAATGTTTTGCATTCACCCATCTATTTGGTTAGTAGACATTGTGGAGTACTTACTGTTGGTCAGGAATTGTCCCACAGGCTAGGATTGCAAAGATGAATATGACAATGACTTTGCCTTGGAGAAGCTGGCAGTGTAGTGAGGAAGAGGAGCTGCAATTCATTGTACTAAGAGCCCTTCATTGTGCTGTTGAGAAACTGAGGCTTGGGAATGTCTTCCCAGTGGTGACGTTTGAAGTGAAGGCTGGGGAATGTGGGTAGGAGTGAGCTCTTGGTAATGGAAGGGGAATGCTTTTCTGGGGCAATCAACAGGTGTGAAAGGGAACACAGCAGAGGAGTTTATGGCGTGTGAGGTAGAATGGCATTTGATGAATTTGGTAAGGCTCGATGGTGCCAGATCATGGAACGTCTTTAAAGCCATACTTCAAAAAGTGTTCAGACTTCTATTTTGGATGCAGAGGAGTTAGAGAAGACTAAGTGGCAGGAAGTAACATGAGCAGAATTGTATGTCAGGAAGATAATGTTGGAAGCACTTTGTGGGAATTCTACTTGGGCTGAGAGAGTAAAAGCAGGAGATGAGGTGGAAGACAGCTGCAGTAGTAGTTCAGTGAGAGACTAAGCGGACCAGTGAAGATCCTAGTCCTAAGGACTAGGCAGAATCTGTGAGAAGATTTTGAAGACCTAATGAAAACCTTGTAGTTCAACAAGCACATAATTTTACGTAACATTCTTTGTTTTTTTTTGTGTGACTGTGTGTTCATGTGTCATATTATTTAGATTGTTTATGATGCTTTATTTTGTTTCTGGCTTTCAAGCTAGCTAAAATTGCTAGCATATATTAATTGCACAGAGATGATGTGTTTCACTATGACATTTTCACACTTTGCACAAGTCATGTAATTGTCTTCTGGTGAAATATTTTAGGGTCAAGAGTTCTCATTTTCAGCCAGATGACTCGCCTGCTAGACATTTTAGAGGATTATTGTATGTGGCGTGGCTATGAGTATTGTCGACTAGATGGACAAACCCCACATGAAGAAAGAGAGGTGAGGAAAAGGAAATGAAGCAAGATTTTAAAAGATCAGAACTTAGTTATAGAATACTTTTCTTTACCTATTTGTTTAAAACTTTAGTCTGGCCTACTTCTAGGTGGTAATGAATTTCTCACTGTCATCATGGTCTTTCTTCCATATTTATCTTTCATTCCACCATCCTCCCCCGCCCAATCATCCCAAGCTCTTCAAGGATATTCTTTTCTAAGAACACTGTCTGATTCCATCCTCATCTTTTTTAGCCACTGCCCCATTGATTCCTGTCTTACCCTCCGACTTGTAATTCTGTGTTATTTTTTGATTTGTTTCATGCTGTAGACCCTTGGCATTTATGGAATTTAATGGTGGATATTTTGCTGATTTATGATTAACTAACTTTAATATTGACTTAAGAAGCAGTCTTGACTGTGGTGGGCCTTTGTCAAAATGAAGTTGTGACAAAGTAGGTGTAGGTACTTATGAGTTTGGGATTTTAGGACACTAAAATGTTGGTTTGGGAGCATGAGTAAGTGCACCTACCCGATGTCTTCTTCAGATTTGCAAATTCTTGTAAGTCTTTATTATTATCCATCACAAATATCATGGGTCAAAGGCATTTTAAACCCATTATTTCACTTTGTTGACAGCTTTGCTAATTATTTTTCTCTTTTATGTGATCCTTTAGGTCTCTGTCTTTGGTTTCTTCTTTAAATCAATACTCATGCTCTGGGCAAAAGAACAGAATTTTATGGTACAGTAGAAAATACACAGAACTTGGTTTGAAGGCCTGACTTTTAGTATTAACTCCACCACTTTCTCGTGTATACAGGTTATTTAATTCTGCGAGCCTCAGTATCTTTAATATCATAAAGATAAAAGTAGTACTAAATGCTTCTTCCTGGTGACATTGTGAAGACTGGTGGATATATTAGGTGCAAACGAACAGTTTAAAAATACACAGAGCACTATATATTGTGTGCCACAGGTCTTTGTATATGTTCAGGGCTTCTTCATAGGCTGTGGGACTCTCATCCCGTGTTCGTCTCCTTCCACAGCTCTTTCCATTGAAACAGTTTTTTGTCTCTTATTCATGCCCTTATTGAAGCCTGGGTATCACAGAGTATAGTGTTGCCAACAGCTCACAGACCTCTTTGTTAAGGGTCTTTGGAAACAGTTGCCATAACTTTTACACATAAAAGAATGTTTAAATGCTTGAATTATTTTCCACCTTATAGCTTGAAGTCCTCTAAGGCAGTGACTTGAAGCTTTTGTTGGCTTAGTCCTGAGAACCTATTCATTAAGCATAGCACCTCTAGTATTGTTCAAGATGATCGACTCTTCTTGCTAGAATGGAGATGACACCAGACAGAATTTAGTAGGCATTATCTGACCTCAAAATGCCAGTTGTATCACTTCTGACCTATCTCCCTGCTCATTACCTAGTGTTGTAGAAATAATTCTTCTTCTTCTCCTCTCCAAATATTGTTTTCCATTCAAAGATTTTGAATTACATGCATCAAATATGAATACAAAGAGGCCAGAGCCTGTAGTAAGAGGAGCAGGCTACATCCTGCCGCCCAGCTAGCTTAACCCCCGAAATAACCACACAGAAATTGTATTCATTTAAACATGGCCTGGCCCACCATCTCTAGCCTCTTATTGGCTAACTCTCACATCTTAATTTAACCCACTTTCATTAATGTGTATTGTCACTTGACTGTGGCTTACTGGCATGAATCTAACCAGCATCAGTCTCAGGCAGGAGAATCATGGCGTCTGCCATACTTCCCTTCTTCCCAGCATTCTGTTTTGTCTACTCCGCCCACCTAAAGGCTGCCCTATCAAAAGGCCAGGGCAGTTTCTTTATTCAGCCAATGAAAGCAACACATAGAAAGAAGAACCTCCTACACCAAGAGCCATTCTTTCTTTTCCCTGGGAGAGGTCCCATTTATATAATAATATCAAGTCTTTTCCTAATACATTTGATTCTTTACTCTGTGTATCAGCAATAATGATCCCCCTTAATAGTTCTCGTATTCACTCTTTCCCTGTCGATAAATAAGCTATTTAGGGCTCTGTTCATCCTCTGACTTAATTGACCTCACTTTTATTGGTAAAGGGGTTAACATTTATCAAGCAGCTACAATAAGCCAGGCACCTTGAAGGTCCAAATGATTCCAATAGTCAGGATAAAGTACTGATAGGATTTTCCCACATGAAATGTGTCAGAGAAGGTAAAGGCTCATGTCTCATATATCTATCTATATCTATCTATCTATCTATCTATCTATCTATCTATCTATCTATCTAT